TTGGCTCTTTTATGACTCATGGACTTCAACTCCCAGAATTCCTGAGCCATCATGGCTCAGTTTGGAAACTATCCCGTTCCCCTCAGCATGCCTGGCTCAGGAATTCTGGGAGTTGAAGTCTACGAGTCATAAAAGAGCCAAGGTTGCCTACCCTTGGACTAGGCTGTCATTGATATTATATTCTTTAAGCTACACGGACGTTAGCAAAAACAGTGGTGGGAGACATTTTGTTTAGTATTCAGTTCCTTGTCATTTTGACCATCTGCATATCGAGCACAGGGAAAAGTTTGCAGGTTTCAGCATTTCTACGTAATACAAGATTCATTGTCAGTAGAACATTTTTGCTCCTTCTGTCTTTCTGAAATGGGACAACTTGATATCCATATGACACGGATTGACACAATAATCAGAATAGAATTAGGATTTGCAGCTGTTATTTTCTAGTCTTCTACTTCTAAAGCAGGCAAAACTGAATGTTATGACAATGTACATGTTCATTGCAATTGCGAAAAAATTGCAATAAGGTAATCCTTGACTTACCACCATTAATTTAATGATCATTCAAAATTGCAAAGGCACTGAAAAAAGTGACTTACAACCAGCCCTCACACTCACAACCTTTGTAGCATTCCCACATCACGTGATCAAAATTTGGACACTTAGCAACTGGCATGTATTTATGATGGTTGTGGCATCCCAGGGTCATGTGATTGCCATTTGTGACCTTCCCAGCCGGCTTCCAACGAGCAAAATCAATAAGGGAAACCAAATTCGCTTAAAGACCACATGATTCGCTTAAACATGTGGCAAAAATGGTCGTAAAATTGGTTGTAACAAAATTCAGGTCGTAAGCCAAGGACCATTACCTGTATTGCCATTTTTTAAAATGCAATGCTGAAATAGTCCATTATGTATTTATAAACACACAGAAAACTGACAGTGATTAGAAAATGTCTTACGATCCATCGTAACCTTAATTGTCAGATTAAATATGTTCCCTTTAAAAAAGTCATCACACATCTTACTTCAGAAGCCTGTAGCAAACCGGCTGTTGCAGTAAATGAACGTAGCATATGGTGCCGCCGTCATGCATAGTATCTGCGTGGGCAGGAACAATTTAGGCTGGTGTTCTTCAGAATTATGAAAAATAAACTGCCTGCTGCCAGTTTCATTTAAACCTAAGCATTAAGCATGCTGTTTCGTGACTAGCAATCCAACAGGGCCAGTAAAGTGCCCAAGAGCAAAAGGTATACATTTATTTCTATTAACAACCTTCAGCAACTGGATTTTTTACAAGCTGAAGTGGTAATCCTGCAAATCCACACCATAACGCAGTGGCCTCTGATCCTAAAAGCAATATATCCATTTCAATATCTTCTCCTGCTTCAAGATAGTCTAACAGTTGCGCTTCTGTCAAAACTAACAGCAGCATTTGGGAGCCAACATTTTAAGAAGTCACTGTGGGTAAACCATTATACTGACAGGTCAAAAAGCCTGAAAGTCATTCCTCTGGTATCATTTGTTATTTCTGGATTTTTATCCACTTGTCTACTGACATTCAAGCAATGCCACTTTTAATACAAAAAAATAATAAAAAAGACTATTAAAATAAAGTCCAATTTAAAATCAGTATACTTAAAATTAAGACTCTTTCACAGTTGGGGAGGCAGATGAGGAAATGACCCCACTACAGAGTCTAGTTCCTGGAAGCCGGTGGGACCTTCAAAAGGGTTTCAGATTGATCTAAGTCAGGGCTTTTCAACCTTTTCACCCATTGTACCACTTTTAGGATATGACAATATCCGAATACCACCAGTCGCCTTTTGATGACAAAAAAAAAAAGGAAAAAAGTGATGAAGTCCTTGACTTACAACAGTTCCCTTAGTGACTGTTCGAAGTTACAATGGCACTGAAAAAAGTGCCCCCCAAGCCACAGCCGAGAAAGACAGCGTCTGGCGGGGCTCTTCCTCCTGTCTGAGGTTTTCATTGTTGTGAGCATTTCTGTTGAGGATTGGCAGCGGGGGTGTTGTGGGGGGGTGTTTGGTTTTTATTCCCCTCGTCTGCTGGGTGGTTGCAGCAGGTTTTGGTCACTTCACATGACCCTGGGACACTGTGACCGTCATAAATATGAATCAGTTGCCAAGCATCTGAATGTAAATCACAAGACCCTGGAGATGCTGCAACATTCCAGCTGATCGGCGCTTCTTCTGGGCTCAGCAGAAGCGCCAGGATCAGCGCCGAGCTCCAGCTGGAGCCTGGCACCGATCCTGGTGCTTCCACTGAGCCTTGACAGTCCCGAAGAAGCGCTGATCCTGGTGCTTCCGCTGAGCCCTGATAGCCCTGCACTCCAGCCATCTCTCGCTCAGGCTTGTCCGGTGCTGCCACGGGTTCAGCTCATTCCCCTCCCCCACTACTTTTCTTTGATGGTCGCGTACCACCTGCCAGGTGCCAATGTACCACAGGTGGTACCCGTACCACTGGTTGAAAAGCCCTGATCTAAGTAACCAGGCAGGATTATGAATGGAGAACCCTTACGTTCTTGCAGATAGATATTTAATCAATATAGATTTTAAGTAAATAGTCCCATGCCAGCAAGACAATTGTTAAGTAAGTTTTGCCACATTTTACAACCTTCCTCGCCCCGTCTTTAAATGGATCCCTGCAGTTGTTACATTAATAACACAGTTGTTAAATGAAACAGACTTCCCTGTTGACTTTGCTTGTCAGGTCACAAAAGATGATCCAAATTTTGATTGTGACTATGGGCATTCTGCAAGTTGTGTAAAAAATGGTCATTAAGTTGCTTTTTCCAATACCATTTAACTTTGGTCTCTAAAAGAGGTATCAACATTTGTGTACAACAAATGTCTCTAAGTCGAGGACTATCTGTAATCTTTATTAAATGACAAGAACAGGAATGAAAAAAGGGCAGATTCTTCATCCAGGAGACTCGCATTCTAAGCCTGACTCAAACCATGTAGTCACTTCTGATGACTGTCAAAAATATTGGGCTAGCCCAGGGGTAGGCCACCTTGGCTCTTTTATGACTGGTGGACTTCAACTCCCAGAATTCCTGAGCCAGCATGGCTCAACTTGGAAACTCTCCCTTTCCCCTCAGCATGGCTGGCTCAGGAATTCTGGGAGTTGAAGTCCATGAGTCATAAAAGAGCCAAGGTTGCCTACCCCCGGGTAGATAATGGTTTTCATATACTGTAAAGACAGCTTCCCAAGATTTTTACTTTTAATGAGAAGACAGTTTAAGAGATATCCTTCTTTTCCTCAGTCTACCCCATTTCCATGCTTTTTTTTTCATCACATGCAGAACTTAATTTATTGGGCAATCCAAAAAGATTAATAAATCTCCCCTTCTCCCACTCCAATCTATTCATTGTTGCCCTGTAACAGTCAAAGAGTACACAAAGCACTTTCCAATGGACCAGCTCCAAGATAGATTGGTGGGAGAGTAGTCGCCATTCCTCCTGGACGTCATTGCTCAGATAGACACACAAAAGGACCCCGATCCAGGGCGTTTAGCTTCCCTGCATTTCTGGCCATCTCCAAAATCTTACTTGAGCTCAGAAAATCCTGGGTAGGCAATAACAAGGCCCCCTCCCCATTCTTATCCAATTGTGTATAAGGTACATGACATCAATCATGTCAACATGTTTGCCCAAGATTCTTAAGTGGTTCTAAATGTGTGTGACAGCAATTCCACATTCCACTTTTAGCCCATGGGAAGCAATCAGCAAAGGCATACCCTGCTCCTCTCTTTCTTTCTCCAGTCTTCCCCTTCAGTCTTCCCCTTCCTACGTAAAACTTCCTGATAAGGCAATGTCCTTCTTTGCTTCAGAACTTGACTAAGGTTGCTGGGAAGTTCCTGATGGAAAAGTATACCTTGGCTAACTGGTTCTTTTTTGGGGGCAGCTGCTGATTTTTCAGCATGAGCAAAAAATTAAAACATTTTTGTGGTGTAAACCAGAGGAAGGACACAATATTGGCTAGTGATTGAGGAGACTTGGCCCTGCAGGCTGTCTCTCTTCTGCCTGGGAGAAGGCTCTGTCTCTGGTTAGAGTTAGGTGCTACTCCCATTGCCTGCCTTTCTAGAGGTAGGAAACACTGGGCCAGGGTACCCATCTACACCGAGAGAGTTCTCAGCCTATGCAACATACTCTCCTGCAATTTGGGCATAGTAATAATAAAGGTGATGATGACGAAAAGAACAGAAAAGCAAACCAACTCTAATAGCAACAACTGATACCACAGAAACCTTGAGGCATGTGGGCAGAGAATAGCAGTTTTGTTTCCTTTCAAAGAAACAAAATATAATGAGTGTGATGATTTTAAAATGAGTTTTACTAAAAGAAAAAAGAAAAAAACCTAAAGTAAATTTTACTTTTAGCTTGCAAATCAGCTGCCAGTCTTGAGGGGGGTGAGTGAATAAGGTATGCCCATTCATTGCAACCTAAAGAGCTGTAAAGCCCGCCACCTCTTTAAAATCTCATTCATTTTGCTGCCATGGGTCAACAATTATTTTTTAAAAAAACACACATGACCAAAGACATTGATGTAACTTGATATTTTCAGTTCCTTGAAAACATGTATGGTTACCTAACTTAACTGATGGAAACTAATGCACTGTCTTCAAACTACACAGCAGTTTTCAGTAAACAATGGTAAACTGTTAAATCATTCCTATCAGGTTCAACCAGTCACCCTTCAGATGTTTTAGTAGGTTTCCTATGTGGAGACATGGATCTTTTATAAGAGCCACATTCAGAAATATACAAAATAGATACCAATTATTTCAGCCTATGTAAACTGCTAGTACTTTTTTAGTACTTTTAAACCCAAGTTTCAAAATTTCTTAGAACTATGGAAAATCTGTTGTCAATTCGGAGACAGCCAATAGAGACTCATGTGTTATCGTAGTTGCAAACATGAAAAATGTATTTTAAAAAGAAAACCAAACACACAGAGAAATGATTTTTACATTTTATCAATTCAATAAAAGTCTTTAGAACTATATAAAATTGCCAGCTAACTGGAATTTATGCAACGCTGCTGAAATAGTTACATCTGAATTACTGTTAAAATGATGAATATCCAAATTAAAATTAAATGGATTAAATTAACAATAGATTAACAATAACATTTTTAAAACCAATTCAACTTGGATGAAATAACTGCATCCATGAATTCCATTTTGCATATTTATTTCATAAAAATTACAGATAAAATATATCACTGCAGAATATGAGTGAATTCAATCTAATTGCAGCAGGAACACACATAACATTAATAAGCTCTGCTTAAAATACTTGGATTTTAATATTCAAACACATCTGGTAAAATAAATGAAATATCTTACATCATTTGAGAGAACACAGTAGTTTACTTTTACCAGAAAGTGGTATAATTGCACAACATTTAAAAAACGAAGACCACTAAATTTTAAGGAAACATTATTTAAAACTACGTTTATTGAAAACATGGGATAGTATTAATATAAGCATAATAAAATAAAGTACAAAATATTTACTTCCTTAATTTAAACACACCACAAGCCCTTTTTCCTTTACATTTTCATTTTGATTTTGGTTGAATACTGCTGATTATTAAAACTTAAAAAAATCAGGAAACTATTTTGCAATATAAAAAGTAATCTCTCTGGTCTACAGTATAGTATAAAAACATAGTTAGTTTAATATTAAAAAGTTACACATCCTAAACAGATGCAGTAAACTTTTGCTTTCCTACTTCAACTGTTCTTTGCTCTTCAGCAAAATAAGAGAACAAGAATTCAACAAAGTCCTGATTAAATAATCCACAGGCTGGAAAAGCTCAGAGGAAGGCTTCAAGAAATTTGAAGCAAAATAAGGCATTTTCCTTACAGTCAAGTAAATTTATATGTAGATTTAGTTAAGGAAAAAATTCACTGTCAAAATAGATGATAGATATAGATAGACAGACAATACCCTGCACCCCTAGAACGCTTCTGATATATTCTCGCACCCCTTACAAAAATTTGAAATAATGGCAATAAATTATGCATGTACACTATAATTTTGAAAACCCAAGTTTTTGTACCCCCTGAAATATCATCTCTCATCCCCAGGGGGTGCAAGCACTTCTTTAATCAACTTCTTTAAAGATAAAGATAAAGCTAGATAAAATAAACGAGGCAAATAACTTATTTGTGCCAACAGCAAGTCATGGATAGAAGTACATCATTTCAGCATTTGTCTCATGACATCACCATGCCATATCATTATTTTGATATTATCATGCTTCATTACATATGCCATTATGTTACATAATAACATAAACCAGTTTGGTCTAGTGGTTGATACCAGGCTAGAAACCAGAAGACTGTGAGTTCTAGTCCTGCCTTACCCATCAAAGCTGGCAGGGTGACTTTTGGCCAATCCCCAGGAGATGGTGGGTTCTAATCCCATCTTAGCCCAACCCAACTCACAGGGTTATTATTATGGGGGAAAGGACCTGGGAATGAATACTATGTAGACCTTGGGATTCCTGGGCCTGTGCTAGGCCTCCAAGGACCTCCTCCACCCAAGGCATCCTGTGCCCCATTTAACAACCTGCACGTTCATTTAACAGCTGCATCAGAGAGAGCAGGGATGGAGTGATTTTGCTTAATGTCCATTGAGGTATGAGACTCTAATGGACAAGCTCTATTATGGTCATATCTCAAGGGATACCTGTAATGCATTATAATTTTCAGTCTGTATACTGTATATCTATTTTACACAATATCCATATGACAGCCGCGGAAAACAAAGTCAATTTCAGCGAGCTTGGGGTTCTTATAGAAATCAGTATAATATTTAAGGAGGGAGGTAGCTTATGAAAGGATATGAATCATAATCCAGTGTTTGAGTAAGAACTCCAGTCAGAACAAATTCTGCGCTGTGAACATCTGCAAAATATTAAAAGAACATACAAATATGAAGGATATTAGTACAAAAATTTAACCAGCTTCTTCATTAGGGAAACCTAGCAATTGGATCTCAATAAAAGATGGCTAAAATGCAGGTGGTCTGTTTGATCAGATAAATCAGTGGCAAGTCATATACTGGGCATCTGCCAAATGCAACTGTAATCCAAGCAGTGCCCCAGCTAAGAGATAAATATACCACACCCAAGAATTCTCTTGGTTTCAGTCATAAAATGATCAGGCACAAAAATCAAATGCCTTTTAAATAAGATAAGATAACCTTTATTGTCATTTCTTTTACTGTGGGCACAACGGCACACATCAAAAATGAAATTTAGTTGCCTGCTCTCAAAGTGAAACACATACATGACACACACCTAAACATCCTATATACAACATATGTATAGACCCACACCCCTACATATACATAACAAATAAATATTAAATACTGTCCATCTTGAATATATAACCGAAGGAGGAGGCTTGAGAGTTCACGTCCTATTCAGACTATTTTAATATCTTACTTGATGGCATAATGAAAGATATCTTTACCAGCGACAACAAAAGGGGATGGGATGCACAAAAGCTTGAGAAAAGAAACAGGAAGGGATAGTACTGTTTGGGTGCTGCTTAATAAAAAGTCATCCTGATAAATATCTAAAAACCATCGTTTCCAGAGGTTACTTGCAGGGTATGTTACTGAAAATATAGAATGCTCTTTTGGAGTCCGCAAATATAATAAAAATTATATTTTAGTTTTTATTGACAAAGATGCAGATTGCATTCTTAAATAGCTAATAATGTTGAATGGAGAATTTAAACCAGTAAAGAGAATGAAATGAAAAAAAATCTATCCATTAACAGTGATAATAATTACATTTAATGACTAACAATAGTGTTAGTCTTTCCTAACAGTAGGTTTCAAATGGCAGCTGTTAAACCTTCACATAATTGTCAATATCGGCATCTTTGGCAACTCATTTCTACTTTTATTTTCTATTCTGTTACACTAATCCATCTCTCTTTCACACTACTATGTGTAAATTCAACTTGGAACAAAATAGTACTTCCTATATCTGATAAACTCAGTAACCGTCTAGAGTTGCTGGGAATCAGGCAGCATATAAATTTAATAATCACAAGCATCTTTAATATTCAAAGATGTTTGTTATTTCTAATTATTGCCAAGAAAATATATTTGAACATTCTGTTATTTCGTTAAGTAATTCTCAACATTTTGAGAGAATAAGAAAATGACAAAATGAAATAGAAAAAATACATTTCATTACAGAATGTACAAAAATAGGATATAGTCCTTGACTTACAAGGACAAGTAAGCCAAAAATTTCCATTACTAAGCAAGATAGTTGTTTAGTGAATTTTGCCCCATTTTACAACCTTTCCTGCAACAGATGTTAAGTGAATAACTATACTTAGTAACATACAGTAGATGAATCTTGCTTCCCAATAGATTTTGCTTGTCAGGTCACAAAAGGGGATCACATGATCCAGGGACACTGCAGCCGTCATAAATATGAGTCAGTTGCCAAGTATCCAAATTTTTAATCACATGACCATGGGGATGCTGCAAGTATCATAAGTGTTAACAATGGCCGTAAGTTTTTTCCAGTGCGATTGTAACTTAAAACAGTCACTAAATGAATGGTTGGAAGTTTAAGACTACCTGTACATTATCTGGCCAAAGTAAGATTGAAATGCAAATACATAACAGCATGTACTGTTATTTTCTTTCTTCCTATGAGGATTTTTTTCAGCAAGATTTTTAAAAGCATCCTAATGGTAAATGTTTATGCAGGCTGCCCTGAAAGTGCCTGAAAGTCCTGCTTCAACAAGAAGAGCCTGCCACCCATTAATGCTGCGTGAGTTCCGGTTGTAAGACATCTCATCGATCTCTAAAGAACATTGCTGCAAGGCTGGACAAGGGGGGACGAGGCCGGGAGGGCCTGGGCATTGGCGGCCTCTGAGGAGGTAGCGCTACACAAGCATCCACTGTTTTCTAGAACATTCAATTTATCCCAGAATTGTCCTTTTGGATCACATTTGTAATGTTCAAATGAAACCGCATTCAGGCTTGAAATAAAACACAAATAAATAGGTAATATTACAAAAAGTTTAAGGCATAATTACTGTCTAACCCATTTTGTAAAGATGTTTTGGTTGTTAATATTGATTACTGCATCAATATTTAGATGAAATCCAGAAAAAAGCATTTCAAAAAAGTTATAAATTGATTTGCATTTTAATGAGTGAAATAAGTATTTGATCCCCTATCAATCAGAAAGATTTCTGGCTCCCAGGTGTCTTTTATACAAGTAACGAGCTGAGATTAGGAGGATTCTCTTAAAGGGAGTGCTCAGCATGTTACCTGTATAAAAGACACCTGTCCACAGAAGCAATCAATCAATCAGATTCCAAACTCCCCACTACGGCCAAGACCAAAGAGCTGTCCAAGGATGTCAGGGACAAGATTGTAGACCTATACAAGGCTGGAATGGTCTACATGACTATCGCCAAGCAGCTTGGTGAGAAGGTGAAAACAGTTGGTGTGATTATTCGCAAATGGAAGAAACACAACATAACTGTCAATCTCCCTCGGTCTGGGGTTTCATTCAAGATCTCACCTTGTGGGGTTTCAATGATCACAAGAACATTGAGGAATCAGCCCAGAACTACACGGGAGGATCTCGTCAATGATCTCAAGACAGCTGGGACCATAATCACCAAGAAAACGACTGGTAACACACTACGCTGTGAAGGACTGAAATCCTGCAGCGCCCACAAGGTTCCTCCTGCTCAAGAAAACACATGTACAAGCCTGTCAATGTTTGCCAGTGAACATCTGAATGATTCAGAGAAGAACTGGTTGAAAGTGTTGTGGTCAGATGAGACCAAAATCGAGCTCTTTGGCATCAATTCAACTTGCTGTGTTTGGAGGAGGAGGAATGCTGCCTATGACACCAAGAACACCATCCCCACCATCAAACATGAAGGTGGAAACATTATGCTTTTGGGGTGCTTTTCTGCTAAGGGGACAGGACAACTTCACCGCATCAAAGGGACAACAGACGGGGCCATGTACCGTCAAATCTTGGGTGAGAACCTCCTTCCCTCAGCCAGGGCATAGAAAATGGGTCATGGCCCACCCTGTCCCAACCCCATCCTGAATACCACCCATATCGATCCTGTCTTTCCCTTACCTTTATAAAACTTAATAAAATATTGTCAAAAAAAAAAAGAAAAAAGAAAAAGGATCATGGATGGGTATTTCAGCATGGCAATGACCCAAAACACATGGCCAAGGCAACAAAGGAGTGGCTCAAGAAGAAGCACATTAAGGTCCTGGAAAGGCTTAGCCAGTCTCCAGACCTTAATCCCATAGAAAATCTGTGGAGGGAGCTGAAGGTTCGAGCTGCCAAACGTCAACCTCGAAACCTTAATGACTTGGAGAGGATCTGCAAAGAGGAATGGGACAAAATCCCTCCTGAGATGTGTGCAAACCTGATGGCCAACGACAAGAAATTTCTGACCTCTGTGATTGCCAATAAGGGTTTTGCCACCAAGTACTAAGTCATGTTTTGCAAAGGGGTCAAATGCTTATTTCACTCATTGAAATGCAAATCAATTTATAACTTTTCTGAAATGCATTTTTCTGGATTTTTTTGTTGCTATTCTGTCTCTCACTGTTAAAATAAACCTACCATTAAAATTATAGACTGATAATTTCTTTGTCAGTGGGTAAACATACAAAATCAGCAGGGGATCAAATAATTTTCTCCCTCACTGTAGCATGTGGCTTGGGGCAACTGTAAAAAAATTAAAAACTGTGTGATAAGCAATATATTCCCCTCCACATCCCAACCACTAAGTATACCTTTATTAATGAAATTTAGATGCTACCTGACTCAGAAGTGACTCTAACAGCTTACATTAATAGCAAACAAAATTTGTGTGTTCCTGTCAAAGCTCTGGTCATGCCCTGAAACCAAAGGGCAGCTGAGGCTTTGGACAGATTTGTGCTTGTGTGGCTTCTCATGACCGCACATTCCCTGTGGTTTACACAGGAGATGCAGGTTCTGAAAAGGACTAAGAGATGCTTAGAGCCCTGCTGGAGAAAAAAAGAGGGATGAAGCCAACCAGACACACCTTAGAGCTGCTACCTCTTGGCAGTAACAGCAGCAAAACACCATTATTTATCAGCCCTTATTACGTCCATACAGTGCCACTCAGTGGTCCTGTTCAGGATCACCCGGTTCTTCCTGGAACATGAAGGCTCGGGTGATCATCTTCAGAGTTACGTAGAGAATTTGTGGAACACCTGATGGACTGGTCGCTCAGATTCATTCCCAGTTGGAACCTACTGCAGGTCCATGTGAGATGCCTGGGGAAAGGTCTGGGAACAATTTGATCCTGTTGAACCTGATGAAGTGGACACGTTCCTCAAAGCTCTCAGTGCCACCATCTGCCAATTAGATCCCTGTCCCTCCTGATTGGTGAAAGCCTCCGGGACAATGACAGCCAGGTAAGTTCAGGCAATGATAAAGGAGGGCAGGACTGTTTAAGGAGGTCTTGGTTTTCCCCCTCCTTAAAAAAATCACTGATTGATCCTACCTGTCTGGACAATTTTCATATAGTTTCCCACTCTCCCTTTTAGGGAAGGTGGTAAAAAAGGTGGTTACTTGGCAGCTTCAGAGGGTCCTGGATGAAATTAATTATCTGGACCCCTTCCAGTTAGATTTCAGGCCTGGTTATGGGACAGGAACAGCATTGCCATACTTACGAATGATCTCTGGCAAGAGCAGGATGGGTATAGTACATTCATTGTTCCTCTCCTTGACCTCTTAATAACATTCAATACCATTGACCACAGTATCCTTTGGGGCCAGCTGTGGGGTTTGGGGTTGGGCAGCACAGTTTTCACTGGTTTGGCTCCTTCCTCCAAGGCCATTCCCAATTGGTGTTGAGAAGGAATGAGAGATCCAGTCCACGGCTGCTCCTTTGTGGCGCGCCACAGGGCTCAGTACTCTCTCCACTCCTTTTTAACATCTACACGAAGCCCCTAGCTGAGATCTTTCACCACCAAGGGATGAGGTACTAACAGTATGCTGATGATGTTCAAATTTACCTCTCCATCCCAGGTGACCCAAGTGGTGCCTTGAGGCTGAGTGGGTGTGGATGGAGGACAGCAGACATCAGCTCAACCTTGCTAAGACCAAGCGGCTTTGGATACATTAGAGGTTCCAGCTCCAGGATTTAACATATTTAGTTCTGGATGGGATTTGCTCTACCACAGACAGACCCAGCGCACGATCTGGCGGTTCTCCTGAACTTGCAACTCCTACTCAATCGGCAAGTGATGGTAGTGTCTAGGAGGGCTTTTGCACAACTTTGTGTTTTGCGCCAGTTGCACCCTTTCCTGGATTCAGTCACTCTCAAGCCCTGGCCATCTCACAGCCGGACTATTACAATGTGCTCTACATGGGGCTACCTTTGAAGAGTATCAGAAGCTTCTGCCGTTGCAGAATGCAGCTGTGCTGGCAATTCTTGGGCCCTGTAGGTGGGCCATGTTACACTGCTGTATTGCAAGCTTAATAAACAAACAGCAAAACAGAAGCAATCGTAAGAAAATCCTATGCATAATTTTAGCATTATGGTGAAGCTCTGGAGTCTGGGAGAGCATGATGAGGCAATATGCAATATGTAAATAAATCCCAAAATACCCACGTATTATATATCAAATTGCATCTTTACACATGTAAGTGTCACCCCCAAGGATATTAAGCACCTACCTATTTTCCTGGTAAAGTATTCTCGACATAAGTGTAGATCATTTTCACAAGAGATAAGGATAATCTCTGACAAGCTCTAAATTAAAAAAAAAAAGGAACCGAATTAATCAATATAGTTTACAGCAAAATATTCCATAAAAAAAACCAGAGGTAACACCCACCTTATTTTGTTTGTGTTCCATAACTGTTCTGAAAGAAGGTTGTTTAGATAATAACTTCCCACCTGCAGATTCCACAATCGATTTCATAGTATACAGACTAGGACAAATTCCCGGAGTAATATAGAAATATTTCCCCTAAAACAAGAAAAGTGTAAAGCACATTTATATTTTACCCATTTCTATGTGTATATTTAAAGGTATTTATATGTTTCTACTTTTTTCGAGGCACAAAAGCCTTTGTCAAAAATATGGTTTTTGTCCTATGGCACCATTCTTGAGGGTACACAAGGAACAAAATCGAAGGAGACAATCAAGCAAGGAATAACATTAAAGCAGGATGTTGCTGAAGGATCTGACGTCCCTTATACTACTTGGAGGACACTGAATAGGTTGAGAGTTGCACTGCCTTAATGTAGAACCAATATGCTCAAGTGGAGGCCCTTGGCGGATAAAAACACGCTATGTGAATGTAGAGAATGGCAGAGCCTGGCCCATCTGCTGTTATGTTGGCTACTATCAGAAATATGTACCGATAATGACTTCTTTTTGGCCAAGAACAAAGCCAAGAAAATGGCTTCATTTGTTTGATCTGGATACAAAAGAAGAAGAACAGAAAAGACAACATTTACATTTATTTCTGACTGGAAACCCATGTGGACCTTTGCAAAAAACAGAAAAAGTTAAACTTATGATTTATGGTTTTGAAGGCCAGAAAGCACAGATTATAGAAAGAAGAGAGATATATATAATTGTACTTATAACTGTTATAAAGATCAGAAGTCGCTTTTTGTATCTTTTTTCTTCTACTTTTACTTTCTTCTTTCTACTTTTAGCCTTCTGTTTGATTTCTATTTTTTCTTCCTTATTCTATAATAATTTGTATTAGCTTTTGTGTGTGGGGAGGTCTATATGGGGGTGCAATGTTTGCAACTTTTTGGCCTAACATAAAATAATGCATCTTGTACACTTTAACTTTCAGGAAAAGTTTTTAAAAATTACTTCCCTGTTCAATATTTTGTGGAAAGTCTAAATGAAACTTGTTCTCTCATTTGCTACTGAAAGACAAGGAACATTTCAGGCAGATAGGTGGGATTAGTAAATAAAATACAGTTGGTTTATTTATTTGAAGTTATTTGGTTTATATCCCACTAGATAATTTATGAATGAGGTGGCTGGATGGAGTCACTGAAGCAGGAGGCGTGAGCTTAAATGGACTCCAGAAGATGGTAGAGGACAGGAAGGCCTGGAGGAACCATGGGGTCACGATGGGTCGGACATGACTTCGCAACTAACAACAACAGCAAGGTAATTTATATTCCTCCAGAAATTTACAATGGTTTACAAGGGATCATTCTCCCCTAAAATACCCTTCCTTGTGAAGGAAGCTGGGAAGAGAATGAGTGACTGACCCAAACAGGTTTCTTTTTCCTCTCTGATTTTATTACATCACCGTGCCGCCTAAAAGCATTTGTAACAAGATATAGCAAGCACCCTCACAAAGTTAATCTGCTTGGAAGCTCTGGAGTTGGAACCATACAACTCCTTCAAAACACCCAGGAAAAATGTGTTTGAATTAGAAATGTGACCGTCGGTGAGATGCAGACAATGCCCTGCCTCACCTTTTCTCCTACAAATCCAGTTTTGAGGCACCATCCTACTGGTTAGGACTGGTTAACATGTTCCTTTAAAGATAATGGAATCATCCACAAATCAAAATGGCAATAGTTCTTTAAAAGTTGCATTATATTAGAAATTGCTTATACAAGCAATTTTCTAGTAGGTCTTGTTTTCAGTTAATTCTCCATCATAAACTTTAAACAACTGCCACCAAGAGTCAACATATAAAACTATCATACATAATGCATAAAACTGTAGTATAGATTTTTCTTAAATTATCTGCACCTAAAAAGTTTTCCTATAGAAGTCTTGATTCCACTTTGACTTCCTAGGCACAATAGACAACTCACATATGTCAAGCTAAGATAGTGACTTGTGACTGGCTGGTAAACAGAGTTCATCAATAAAGGACAACATTTGTAGCTCATGATTGAAATGAGGGGTCCTTGGAGCTTTCTGAGCTTGGTAGGTTTTTTTTGTAGATGTTTCATTCCTGAAATTAGGTAATATCATCAGTGCCAGTGGTAACATCAATAGAGTTAATTTTTTTAAGTCAAAGTCAACTAAGATTTATGTTAATATTAATTCAGCAAACTAGTCATAATTTCTGCTCTATTTAGAGGTTGCCATGAATTAACTCACGAAACTGACCCAAAATAAAAACACTAATGCAGTTGTAATCCAGTTTTTAGAAACCAAAATCATGAATTCCTACAACTAATGTTGGTCTATTAGATATTTGTGTTTAGACGTATATATATTCACTTTTGAAGCAAATGGTAAAATTCCATTTCCTTTCCAAGTTGTTTTTCTGGTTCCCAATTTCTCTCAGGTTAGTCTCCTGTGGCTTTTTCTTTTTAAATTGAATGACACGGATTTCTCCCCTGGAATTCTCCTTAAAGATGTGTTCTTTTGTCCATGTTGCTGACCTTACCCTCTAATACGTGACGATATATGAACCTGCAGCTCTCAGTAAACAAATACAATTATACCTTAAAGAGTGGTGCCGCTTGCGCTCTTTTTAGAGATTCTTCCAAACTGAAAGAAAAAAGGACTTCAGCCTCTGCATCTCGGAGCATGTAGTTTTGTTCTTCTATAAAAAAAAAAAAAAGAGGGTAGGGACATAACTTTACTTTTTCAAAACATAAGATGGTGAAAGCATTTACTCATTCTTAAGAATTATTCTGAGAAAGTTTGAGATGCTTACCTTACCTTGAGTTACCTTACCACAGTCAAAAAGTTAAATACTTCATTGGTGTTCACTAGGTTTTACAGAGTGGAAAACCACCAATTGGATTGATTAAGTAATAAAGCTGTATTAATGCCTTTAAAGAATGCATGTAAACACTGCAATACAAGAAGTTCTTAGATTACGATAGCAGTTGGGACCAGGAGTACCATCACTAAGCAGTGCAGTCATTAAGTGCAACATAACTTGATTGCACTGCTTAGTAACGGCCAGTACGAATTGCCATAGTAAACTCAGGATCATGCTAGTTGTTAAGAGTTCAGGCAAGGCGTGGGGGATCCTTTGGGAGGGAGTGAGAGGGCTGTGATCAAGCGCACGTAAAATGCAGATGGGCTGGCAGAAGCTGTGGGTGAATGGGAGGCTGCTGTGGATGGGCAGGCACTGGGGTGGGTGATACACAGAGCACAAGATCCCTGGGACCAATTTACCAGAGGAGCTTTTGACCTTCCCTTCCAGTTTTTCCTGTGAGAAGCTGACAGGAAAGGTCATAAATGGCAAATCCATGGCTGTGACTCACTGCAAGCAGGGCACCCAAGTGCCTTGACCTTGATTGCAATCATGTGACTGTGGAAATGCTGCAATGGCCAGAACTTCGGTCATACATCCATTTTTTTTTAGCACTGCCATAACTCTGAATAGTCACTGACAAATGAACATAAGCCAAGGACTCACACAGAAGATGAAAAACGAGGAGGAGGAGGAGGAGGAGGAGGCACAAAGAAGACGGAGTCAAGCTATTCTCCAAAGCACCTGAAGGCAGGACAAGAAGCAATGGATGGAAACTAAGCAAGGAGAGAAGCAACCTGGAACTAAGGAGAAACTTCCTGACAGTTAAAACAATTAGCCAGTGGAAGCGGTGAATGCTCCAACACTGGAAGTTTTTAAGAAGAGACTGGACAACCATTTGTCTGAAATGGTATAGGGTTTCCTCCTTGAAGGTTTAATTAGAAGATCTCCGAAGTCCCTTCCACCTCTGTTTTTCTGTTATATCACATTCTTTAAATTACTAACACAGAGAGGTAGAATCAGAAATGGATTTTTGGATGAATTGACTAGTAGGAGACCAGTTTCAAAATGACACACCAGCTTATTCTATTCTAGTCAAGTACATTAAAAAAATAGTATTTTAGAGGAAAAAAAACATCTATTGAAATTACTTCAGTGAAGTTGATTTACTTATAAACAAAAAGAGCACCCGCTCCAATGAAAGTTTCACTGTCGCATTTGAAGGAAGGACTCCACAACACGACTCTTACTTTGTTCAACATGGCCATTTACTAACCTATAAATTTCTGACATTTGAAACATTCTTCCAACCATTCCGGTGTTACAATATGTTTTGCAACTGAAACTGCTGTCAGGAATTTTACAGTGCGGGTCACTTTACTAGCTATCACGTGAGTACACTTCTGTGCAGTCTCTGTTATGTCACCCCCAAGAACATAGACTTTCTAAAAATGGAAGAAGAAAAAAGTGTTTTAGAACTTTTAGTCATAATAGAACAACAGACTAGAGAATGAATCATGATTATACACACTCAATGGACAACCATGTATGAGAAAAAATACTTTTGAAAAATAATGCTCAATTATTACGAAGTGGTGTTTTGATGCAGTTACACATTCGTCAGTGGAGATAGCCAGCATGTTGTAAAATCAATCCTAAAATCATATGAAATCTTTTAATTCAAGAAAGAATTTACCTTAATGTATTGATGTGCTTGAGCAGGCTCAAATCCTGTAAAAAGAACCATTGGAGTCAATTCTGGTGGCAGTTTTTTGGTGGGTGCTGGGAAGTCTTCAATTCTAGAAATACAAAGTTAACTTAATATTATTTTTAACTTTTTTAAATCAAGTAACTTAATAATTACTTTCTAAACCCAAAATTAGGGTATAGTGCTCTGCAAAGCTAAATATCTATAAATTAAAGAATTTTTACCATTTAGTAGATTATAAAATAAAAGGGACACGTCTGCTTTTGCTGTTCCTTTGACATGTTTCTCACTTTCAAATGTTTGCTCCTTGATTTGACCCCTTGGTTATAGTTTTTTTCCAGATATGTGTAACTCAAAAACATATACTGTTTAAAATCTAAAAATAATTTCATTTCAGTAACACCATTTCCAAGCAACTATTGAGCTGCTTAAGCATTGTCATTTTCTTACCTTGGCCTTTTGGTTGAAGGTTGAATTACGGTTTCATTCTGCTTTGGTTTAAGTGGTAATCTCATGTTCTACAATTAGACAAGGTATAGAATTGGCTTTCATAAGGACCATTTTTTTTTAAAGTTTTGTACCAATATCTTTAAATATATATAAAAACATACACTGTATTAAAATCACATATATGCACAGCATAACCCTGCCCCTGCCAACTCATAAAATTAAATGGAAATAAATTCCAGGAAAATAACTGTATTATAGTCATAATGCTGCAGGAAAAAAAGATACATGTATTATGTACCTAAAAGTGTTGTGATGCTTTCCAAATAATTTTCTTTTATTTTAAGTGCATTATATAGCATAATTCATCAATTATTACATAAGCATCTAAGACATGTCAAACTCGCGACGTCATGTGACGTCACGCAACGTATCAGGACGGTTTTGCCATTGCCAGCAATGGGGTGGGCGTGGCTTCCAGATGACGCATCCGGCCCGTGGACCGGCAGTTTGACACCCCTGATCTAAAACATTCATAGTAGAGAATTCAGGCCACGAAGAACACAGAGATCCACATTCATATATATTGCAAGTTCAGGATTTGGTATTATGCACACAAGTAGGACTATGCCTATGTGAAATGCTGAGCTCAAGCAACTGGAAAGATAAGATGACATGGGACACCTAATGTGATTGCTCCCAAGTTGCTCTTCTCTCTCTCTATTCTGGGAGATCCATGGTGTCTTCCTTATTTACTGAGCTCTGGGAGATGTAGTTGCAGAAGCAATGGTGCACGAAGGCCAAAAGGGATTCTACAAATACAAGCTCAAAACTACACCATAGTAGTGAAAGGCAATGTAAAGTGTAGTTGTTTTCCCAAATTGTGCTATCAGCTATCAGCTGTTGGCGTTGTTCAGGGTGAGCAATTCGCTTCTTGGGAGTGAATTAGATCTTAGATTGTCTACTTGGTTGTTGCAACCAGTTTGCGCAGCGCTTTGTTGACAAAGTTGCTCTGAGTTGCCAATTCTTCCTGGGTGAGTCTGATGTGGTTATTGGGGTTGCATCTTGCCCTGTTATTTGGGACATTTCATGGCCTGTGGACTCTTGGACAGGATACTCGTTTGTTCCTTGTAAGCTGGATACACATTCCTCTTAAGACTGAGATCGTGAAATAGGCTGGATCGGGAGAGGGTCAACGCCTCATTTCAGGTATCCTTTCCCTCCTCAGAAAACCGTCCCTGGATTTGCTCCCTCTTCATCATTGTATAGGAGGGAGGATAAAGCAGGACTAAGTTTCATGCGAAGAGAATCATAGATTTAAATGGGGGGAATGGGGGTGCAACATTAATGCAAAAGAGCGTACAACAGAGTCCAGGACCTGGATAAGACTGTCCACTCTGCTTAAACAACTACAGTAGTTAAAGCTCTGCATGCAATAAATAGTGTTCTGATTGGGTGAAACTCAATTCAGGTTTATTCATCTTTCTATAGGAGGAAGCAGCAAGCAGAGCCTGGCACTTTATGGAAGCCCATTCTTACTGGCAGTCTTTTGCCCCAATTACTGATCATAACCAAGCTGGAAATTCAGCTGGGGAAGTTCTTGTGCAGACACTGCATCTGATTTCCAAGGAAGGAAGGAAGGAAATGTAATCGTCAGGTATAGCATCCGAGAAATTTTAAATAAAAAATAATATAAAAATATCTTAAACAATATAAATGTTTTATAATCTACAATCTCATCACTTTTTCACATGCATTCTTTTTCTGTCCCCCCACGCGTAAAGGTGTGTAAAGTAACACTACATACCATTTGAAGTTCAGGCGACACCTTTAAAGGCACCCTCCAAGCATCTGGAATTAATGAACAGAAAGAGCAAGAAACTCTTACACCAAGGCCTGATTTCTGTGAGGCTCCAGTACTTGGGTCAATGTCTGTTTTCTACATCCACCCTTTTTAGCCAATTAGGACACACAATTTAAAAGCCCATAGAAAATCCACACATGATGCAATTACCCTAGGTTTAAGATTATGAATATAATACTGTTTCATGTAGTTCTTCCTATCCTTTCTCCCTCTCCATTAAACTGGATATCTCAACGGATTAAGTTGATAAAGACAACTCAAAGAAATTAATTACATCACAAGAAAATAATAATAATAATAATAATAATAATAATAATAATAATAATAATAATAATAATAATCATCATCATCATCATCATCATCATCATCATCATCATCAAATAATCATCTATAGAGCTAGATGATGCCATTTTAAGATATAATTTATATTAAAGGATGTTTCATGGAATTTTCCCTTTGAACTGAATCTTCCATACCTCCTTCTTCTGGCAGGGTTATATTTCTGCAGAATACTGAAAAATGAAATGCCTATGAAATAAAATATTGCTAGACTAGAATTTTTTTTCTTCAGATGGACATGTTTATTTGTATCTGATAAATGATTTAAAGGGTTTCATTTATTCAGTTTACAGATTAATAAGGTTAGCATGACTACCACTAATCAAATATTATTTTATCACCTGTTTTTTAAGAGAAAGATACATATTTAAAAAAATAAACTTGGATTTGAAACCAAGACAATCAATGGTTAATTTGGTTTTAAAATTATTTTTATGCATATTACGAATAAATCTCATTAAACTTTAAGATCCTTATTTGTGTCAACATGCTTAGTTCGTGCTATCAAAAGGAGCACACATAGTGCATATAATGGTATGTCCAAAAGAAGCAACAAATTATTATTTTGCACTGAAATGCAATGGTTGTAAACTTTTTCAAGTCTTCTTACCAAGAAGATTTGGAACTAGATGCTGATTAGGAGCAAAGCAATCTTGAAGATTGAAAACTGTATATCGATTGTGCTGCATTTGCCGCAAAGCTTCAAAATTTCCAAGTAAGATATCACAGAGCCATTGTGCATTGACACAAGGTATCCTCCACTCTTTGGCCTTTTCATACTTTGTGCCAGTTGGCCTTGAAATAGGAAAAAAAGAGTCAATGATAGGAAGCAAGTCAGAACACTTTTCCCAACATGATGTTCTCCAAATACACTGGGACTGTATTTGGAGATACAGTTCAACCCAGCCAGCTTTCAATAAGCACTCCAGGGTGCGGAAGATGTCAATATTGCTAATTTGTTAAAACTTCACATCAAATAGTACTTATTATAAATTCCATAATATACTATTTTTTTTATAAAAATGAAAAATCACTTTGGAACCATTGGAACAAACCATTTTGAGGCCTCTGGGCTAGTTTTTTTTATAGAATAGACAGTAAGACTTAACACTGGAAATGAAGAAGAACGTACACCAACGTTTTTAATGTAACATAGCATAACACAGCCAGTAAAACTAAATGCTTGTATTCTGAAAAATGGCTGTTAAAAAAGCAGACATAAAATGGGACCCATCAGTGTTATTCACATTATTATTCTAAACAGCACTTACGCTTTACATATAAGAATGGTATTACTGCGAGAAAGATAGCCTGTATATTTTGCTCCTGCTAGGTAGGCCATCAACTTGAGATCGACTCTGTCATTATCCACAAAACCTGTTACAGCAATTATCTGGACAGAAACAAATGAAACAACTATAAATACGTTGGTTATTTTATTTTTCTTTAAGTGACACTAACCTTTAACTAATTCAGTATTTCTCAAAATAAGATGGAATCGCAACTCCCAGAACAGATACAAGTTCCAGATTTCCTGTATATGGGCAAGAATACAAGACTGCACAAATACAAGACAATCATCTTCTTCAAGAAGAAGCGTGTCTTAGTGAATTAACTCCAAAAGATGAGAAGAAAAGTTAAACTTCTATGCCTCAATACTAGATGAATGCATTATCTCCTGCAGAGATTTCAAGGCAGAGAGGCAACCACTCTTTTCTCTTTACTGTTATTGGGTCAAAACGCAGGTCGCAAGACCCCTTTCTCTCTCGTGCACTGGATTTAGGAGTGTGAAGTCAGTCCAGAAAAACAGATGGTGAGAAGAGGAATGACTAAGCTACTATCCCAAGACAAGGAGAGTGGGCTCCCATTCCCCAGGAAAGACAAAATTTGAAGGCCTTTCTGATTTGAAATCTCCCTCTGGTTTCCTGGATTGAGACAAGAGCCAGGAGTTCCTTTTAACAGCTGATTCTCTAATTGTATCCCTTCTGGAAGAAAACTACTGTAGGGTTTGGGCTCCAGGGGTAAATACTGCAATATGCTTCACATGAGATAGCCTTTACAATTAGTAAAGAAAGTTCACTAGGACAAATACAGAAGTCAGAGAGATCACACTGTATCTATGCTAAAAGCATGAACATTGAGTGGCAATTTGTTTCTAAATGAAATACAACGTGGTGCAGGTAGTCCTAGTTAAACAATCGCTCACTCAGCAAACATCCAACGTTACCATGCTGAATGCAGAGTTACAACAGATTCTTGTAATTGTGACCATTGCAGCATCTCTGTGGTTACATGACTGGGATTCGGGCACTTGGCAACCGGTTCACAATTATAATGACTGCAGTGTCCCACAACTACGGGATGGCATTTGCCACATTCACTGCCAGTTTCTGACGAGTAAAGTCAATGGGAAAGCTGGCAGGTTCACAAAGGGCAATTCTGTGACTGTGGGATGCTGTGATCACATGGAGTTCACCTAACAACAGCACCTGCCACAATTGTTGGTGTAACTCAGTGCAATCATGTGACGTTGTATTTTATAACATCACTTAGTGATGGAAGTTCCCAGTCCCAATTACCATTCCTAAGCAAGGATTAGCTGCGGCTATTACTTGGGTGAAAATGGCCAAATTTTAGCATTTCCCCCCAAATATTAACAGCGGTTCCTCACCACCTCTTAACCGCCTAACTTTTCTCAAATTCTCTCGAATTGCCCTTTTCCAGTCAGATTTGTGAGTTTTGGGGAGGGACATTTTCCCACAGCTTTAAAGCTGTGAATAGTAATGGGAGAAGCGTAGGAGACAAACCTGCAAAATTATATTCTCTAATTGTGTTAATTTTTCTAAAAATGGAGTGCTATGTATTTACTCATTTTTGAACTCTTAAGTAATATCAGCAGTAATTTTGAAACAAAAACTTAGATAAAGCTTCCTTACGTGCTGAGAACATGGTTTTCCTCCGGGTGGAAATGCTACTGGAAAATGAAGAGCTCGATGGGGTGGTACCATTTTCTTCTTTTTTAGCACAGAATTCAGCCAGTGGGCAGTGATGCATCTTTTCCTTTCTTTCAAAGCCTATAATATTCACACGCGAGGCAGAACATTGTTACTATAGGTCTTAATTTACCACATTTTATAAGAAATACATAAAATATTTTTTTAAAAGATGAACAAAATGCATTCTTGGTGCATTAAGTTTTCAGTTACAACTTCTGAATCAACACGCTGTAGTACATAATACCAAATGCTGTATGGAATTTTATTTCTTAAACTTATCTCTTGACTTATGTAGTATGATTTCTTCCATTTTTTCCTCCATATTAATAACCAGTAGATAAATTGATTTACAAAAAAGCAAATGCCTTCTTCATCTAGTGCTATCAGTAAATTTCCTAGTATTCATTCATCACCTTAAACATTACACTATTGTGGTCTTTTTTTCTTTTTGCTTCAGGTCATTTTCAACTCCATTTGAAAATGAAAAGTGGAGGCACTTGCCTCACAAACATGAGATAAGAATCCATTATCACATTAACTTTCATGGGCTGCAGACTCTTTCTAGTATTTCATAATAAAGCTCTAAAAATCTTGCTGTGCTCCCGAGCCTGGGATGCTGAATGTATTAGAGCTCAATTTCCCGCCTTTATTGTTAACTAGTCAAATATCTCAGTTGCTATACCTATTTATTTTTGATATTTTTACTTAATATTATTTTAAAATATTTTTATTATTTTAACTGTATATTTTTTTGAATTGTAAGCCTTGTAGAAGTTGAATGAATAAAAATTCAGTTCAAAAACACCTCTATTATTGACTTCCGGTGGCAGGCGACTTCGTCGGTCGCAGCTGTTTGCTGCCTCCCGCCTGTTTCGCGTAAAAGCCGTTTTGACAGCCAGTACCAGCTGTCAAACGGCTTGATACCTTTCCCCTGGGCATAAGGGGATAGGTGAGCTGCCCGGGGTAGGAGTTGAGTTCCCGAGTCGTCCTATATGGACGATGTAGGTGAGAACTCCTCCGGAGCCCCGAGGATTCTCCGCGATCCAGGATGCCTTCGCTTCGGCGAAGCTAGAAGCCGCCGCCACTGCTGCAACTTAAAGTTAACTGTGAGTTTTATTTGTAAGCAGACGAACCAACCTTGGAAGCTTGTTTTTTATTTTGGACTTTACTCTAACTTGGATAATAAGTTCTTCCCCGTACTTGTGTTGGATGGAGGAAAAGTGAATTTAAAATGGCGATGGATTGATACTTTTCAGCAAGAAGTGAAAGTGATTTCCAGTTTGTAATTTCTGCTACTTTGAATCTGCGTATTATTTGTTTTGGCTGAGTTGCCTACAAGATTTTCTTATAACTGGAAATTTACTGTTAATATGGCTTTGAGAAAAATTGTGCCTTCAACTTTAAGACCGATTATATCCCTGATGTCCCAGACATCTCAATTAACTTCAAAAATTTTCCACCTGCCACCCTCGTTATCTTCTTCACCTCCACCGCCCCTTGGCAGAGAGTTGCAGGACTTGGTGTCCGTAACTCTTAAACAAATGACTGAGATGTTCCAATTGTTTGATGTTAAAATGCAAAATAGATTTGATCAACTGATGCTACAACAACAGGACTTATTACAACAACAACAAGTCTTATCACAGAAACATGAGGACTTTTGTTTGAATGTTGCAATTGTTTCTCAAGGTTTGGCTGAACAAGTGGATGCGGTGGCAGTGGATGAAAGCTATCCACATCTTGACTATGATTTAATACTGGAAAAAGTATTAGAAACTACAGATGACTTCAAAACCTACTGGAAATCATGGAGAAAACTTAAAGAGGCTATATTGGAACCTCACATTGACTCTTTAATAATGAATCAAGCTGTGGAACAAGGAATAACAGAAGAGAAACTGAGTAACCCTNGGGAGAAAATGTGGAAACCACTAAGCCAATTAATTTCATACAAAGCTACTTACATCTGTTGGATAATTTTGATGATCAACAACTAATTGTAATTGACTCATCTCAATTGCTAAAAACAACAAAGATTGATACCCAGACACAATCCTCTAGGAAATACAATAAAGTGGATAACAATTTATTCATAATATTGGGTAAAAGTCCATATAATACCCAGATGATATTGGTAGAAAGGGAAGAAAATTTTGTTCAGTTTGAATTGATTAGAAAGTTTTGTAATCAAATCTGGGGGTTTGATAATCGAAAGGTTTTAATTTGGGAATTAACTTGGCATAGAAAGAAAGCTAGAGTCAGGTATAAACGTGATATCAAATGTCATCTGATGGGTTAAAAAGGTTTTAAAGGTTTTTTTTATTTTTTATTTAACAATGAATGAAGGATGGGGACCTATTGTTAATGTATTTTTTTTGGACTTATATTACTATAATTATGCTGTAATAATTGAACTTGTTTGATTTAACTATGAATGGATGGGAATCAAGGTTTTAAAGGTTTCTTTTTGATTTAATAATGGTTGAAGGATGTGGACTTATTGTTAATGCATATATTTTTTTTGGACTCATATTATTTTTATAAATATGATAATTATGTTGTAATAGATTGAATTTGCTTGATTTAATTAGGAATGGAAGGGAATTTTTTGATACTATAACTGATATGTAATTGAAGTTGTAAACTTTATTAAGGACTTAAAATGATTTTTTATAGGTGTAGATTATGAAATGATAGAATATATTTCTTAAAAATAGAAATGCACTTATATTATTACTACAAATATGATAATTATGTTGTAATAGAGAGGAAGAGTTATTGGTGACAGGGAAAAACTAAATTTTCTTGCTGAATTGGTAAAGATTTTGGTGATCTGAATTACTTAAATGAATAATTTTTACTAATATGGAGGAGATGGATTGTTTATAATAGAGCTTGTGGAGTTAGAGAAATTAATATTCGTTTACTTATATCTGAATACTAGCCTGGGATTTGGTTTGGGAAGTCCGGGGGGGTGGGATATAATATTGTGTAATAATATTGTGTAATACTTGTGTTGTTTTTTTTTATATGATGAAAACAATAAAAATTTTATACTGAAAAAACACCTCTATTATTGTTGTTTTGTATTGTGAAATAATATAGAGAAAGAGAGAAACCTACTACTTGTTTTTTGTTAACTGCTTTTCATTTTTCTTTATTTCAAGAGTACTTAAGTCTGCACTCAGCACATTTGCCTGCAAGTGATTCATTTTATTTACCTGGATCCCGCCTTTATTATTTTTATGAGTGACTGGCCTAAGGCCACCCAATCAGCTTTCATAGGTAAGACAGGACTAGAATTCTTGGGTCTCCCAGTTTCTAGCCTGGTACCTTAACTCTAGACCAAACTGATTCCCATGCATTGTGGGAAAAGTATGTTGTTTAGAAAAATTGCAGGCACATATCCTGCCTTATTCCCCTCATATCTGAGCCTTCTCTCCAGAGTCAGCATAGCAGAGTTACCAATAAAGCTGCAAGCCTGAAACACGTGCAGGAGGAGAGTGGAGAAGGGTGTCTTGGAACAACCAGCAAACAATGTAAAGTTCTCTTTGCTATACAGTAATCACACATGACTAGCCAGTAATTCAAGCCACATTTTGTTTCCTAACATTGGCAGACATCAAATACTAACACAAGCAGCAGAAAAAAATCCTAGATTTAATTCGGATTTATTTTAATTTAGTTTATTTTGCTCTTGAACCAATGAGACCGTGATTGTTTTGTTTTTGAGCCAATGAATAACTTCCTAGTTAAACTTTCTGGAAGAAAAGGGCAGTATATTAAGTTTCAAACTTCAAGATCTCATGGTTTGGAGAGCTACATATTATTATCTGCTACTGATAATAAAAGACTATATAAACTATATTTTAAAAATATAGAAAGACTTTTACCTTAGCTAGAAATTATATATGGTATTTTGTCATACCTGTGCATACATATTACTAAGTTGACTTTCACAAAGAAGATGTGTACATCGGCTTGTAAGTGTAGGATCAACTGTACCACCATGAGTCTGGATTACCTAAAATAAAAATTAAGAAAATTTAAAAGACATGTCAGTCTAACATAATAAATATAGAAATGTTTGAAGCTATCCAGTCAGTAGGAAAAAAAACCCTAAAGCAATAAGATGAAATACTGCATCTTTTAGTGGAAACAAGTATATCTTGGATACTGATAAACATATTTTATTAGAATTAATTTGTTACAAAGAAACCATTGTAAATTTATTTTTAAAAATAGGTTAATTTGATTTTTCATTAAAAATGTACTTAGAAATTCTGATTAGAAAAATATTCACACATGGAATTTATATTCACCCTTTTCCAAATTGCCAACAGTTGTTTATCAGACATGTGTTCAGGGTAATCAGCAATTGCAAAGACGCAACCCAGTAAGAAATATTCTTCAGGAACTGAAAAAAATAATGCAGTTGAAATTAATCTAAAATACTTTTTTCTCTTAAATTGTAATTAATGCAATCATCTTCAATGGTATGTACATTTAAGACTTGGATCCTCCCAAACCAATCAAACTGATCAATACTGAGATGCAGATCCCTGGTCTTTACTTGTCTTTCACATATAGCAAGAGGCTTCTTGCTAGGTGTGTGCAAAGCATTTCAATTCCCAAATAGTCATTTCACAGATTCCAAGATGGAAAGAAAGTTCAACCTTGAGAATTTTGTTTCAAGATAAGAACAAATTACATTGTCTTGCTCTATATTTTGACCAATATTATCCCGAAGTTCCAAAAGTTCCAACAGCCATTAGTCTGCTGCTTTGTGATTTGCACACTGCATCCCCTGTCATCCACTAGCTTAGCAGACGGCAGCGGAAACCAGTTGTGTCCTTATAGCTGTTAGTTTAGAATGAAACGGGAAATGTGGGAATGGATTGCTGAGAAAGGAGTCCAATGAGGCAGAGGTTAAGCATATCTACCAGTCTGGTACTGCTATAAAAAAAAGTTGCAATCCATGTGAATGTCTGGACTGAATGCTTTGAGAGGACACGATTTGACAAATATACCCCATATTAAAAGAAAACTGACAGAGGGAAACATATTGAATTCAAATGCTAACTGTATTCAAAATTTAACCATTACATAATGCAACTGAGTATTTTGGTTTTCTTCTAGTGGTCTAGTATGAAGTTAGGTAGGTTAGAAATCCATTTCCAGATCAATCCAATTGGGGACACTTAAAGAACTGAACAGAGGTCCATAAGTCTTCAAAGCAGTCTTTTAAACATTTTATCTATGTGCAAGAACTTCCTCAAGGTAGGAGATATCCTTGATTTCTTTGGTATCTCATTTATAATGGCTAATAGCACAGCCCTTTTAGAACTCCTGCTTATCTATTAACATGACTTCCTTCTTTCAGAAATCCACTGAATGGGAAAGGGCTTGCCTTGCTGACAGCTGTTTATACTGGCCACGAATACTGTGCATACTAATATATTTGTATCAACTCTAGATGATTTACTAATAACCAATAATTTAACAACCAGAAATATTTTTTTCTCATTTTAAACAATTTTTCTTCAATGTGCAAGAACAAAGTAGATCAATCACTAATCTATCTCACAGGGTTGATCTTTGGGAAAACATGGGAGGAAACATTAAGTATGCCACCTTGAAACGCTGTATTAAGTCAGGATGCATATAACTAATTAACCTACCTTCTACAGATGGGTCATGCCCAAACAGTTGATATTGCTGCAATTGTTGCTGCTGGGGATTGTGTGGTGCCTGAATTGAAACTTGATGGTGTAGTGTCTGAGATGTTGGAGTCAAGTGTTGTGATGTCTGATTTTGCATTTGCTGCTGCTGCTGCTGCTGCTGCTGCTGCTGCATTCGTTGTAAGTGCTGCTGCTGAAGTTGTTGCTGCTGAAGTTGCTGTTGCTGCAGGTGCTGAAGGTTTTGCTGCTGAAGCTGCAATTGCTGCTGCTGCAAGTGCTGCTGTTGCAATCGATGCAACTGCTGCTGCTGAAACGGCATTGGCTGTGGAGGGCGATGCATTTGTTGCTGGGAATGTACCAGTTGGGAAGGAAAGGGGAGCTGCTGCTGTTGCTGTTGCTGTTGTTGCTGCTGCTGCTGCTGCTGTGGAAACTGGTGCTGATGGACTTGTTGCTGAGGGGCAAACTGATGAGGCTGCTGTGAGAAAGGCGATTGGGGAACCTGAGCCTGTGGCGGCTGGGACTGCTGCTGCAACTGCAGGAGCTGCTGGGTTTGGAGATGCAAGAGATGGTGATGCTGCTGCGGGGGTGGCTGCACTAGGCGCGGCTCTGGAGTCAGCTTGACCTGGCTAAGCAGGACCGCACTGGAGTGTCCCTGTTGGCTATGGTTTATCTGTGGCTCCAAAGTTTTTGTAGGTGCTGAAAGTGACTGCAAGATCTAGAAAAGAAAATGGATACTTTATTATAGTTGTTCTATTTCCCCGCCCCCCCTAACGCTTCTTCTGGGTAAAAGCTATCAAGACTATTCTGAATGAATCAAATAATAAAAAACATAAAAACTAACAGTTAGCCTGTGTTAAAAATATTTAAAGTACATTAAAAGCAAAATGAAAGCAAAACACTCTAGCATGTTTTCAAAAGCTGAGCATGGGGAACATTATAAACAAAGTGCATCACTCCCATAAGTTTGACAAAGTCATATTACTGTCCAGAGGATTTTCCTTAAGATCTTAGTAAACAACTAGACATATAATGAAATAAACATTTCCTTAGTTTATTAGATATTTAGATAGACCAATATTTGGAGTTTAATCTGAAAAGTAACTTGCACCAGTGAGACCTGCAATACTGCTGTAGAAATGTTTTCTTGATACCATCCCTTAGTTAACCACATGGCTTTAAGTCTGAAGGCTCTTAAAGAGGTGCCTTGCTGGCTGGGGGATTCTGGGAGTTGAAGTCCACCCAGGTTAAAGTTATCAAGGTTGAGAAACACTGCTGTAGATAATTGCTTCCAGTTAACTCAGACTTCAGAAATGTTACAAGCAGTTAACTAAAACACAGATATGCAAATACAATTCTTCCTAGAACTACCATGTAAAAATCCAAGACTGGGTAGAAAAGAAAAATGCAATCTTATATTACCTGACTTTCAGAAAACATCCTATATTTTAACAACGAAACAATAATATTTTCCTCTTCAAAATGTTCCTTTTATTTCTGAAGTTCATAGACAAGTTAGGATCCTTATGTATTCAAACAATACAGGATGATCAAGGTCTAAGAGCTCCAAATACAGGTCTAAGAGCTTCAAACAGAAAACAGCCAACAACAAAATTTTCAATATGACAGGTGACAAATGTGTTTGCAGTTCCGCATGCATCACTTTAGGGAAGTCACAACTACTGATTTAGAATTAAGTTCAAAATTGCTCATTTTCAAATAATATTTTATCAACTTATATATTAAAAGTACTTACATGTGCTACATTTGATTGTCTATTAACCTGCTGAATATCAGCATTATTGGTAATATTTCTTAGTGTCCGGACTGCAGGACTCCATGTTGCCATCATTTCCGGATGTCCAGAACTTTGGGGAGTTTGTACTGAAGCCATTATATTACTTCTGATATCAGGGGACAAAATATTGCCTGGGACAGGTGGGACATTGGCACACAAATTAATCAATCCAGAGTCCTTGCCTGGAGTCAATGTGTGTTTTCTGGCAACAGTCTGTGGAACTTCAGCCGTGGTCCAGTTCAAATTTCTTTCATGCTTTTCAGGAGAGGAATCTGATGAATCATCAAACATAAGTTCCCCTTTGTTTTTGTCAGCATCAACAGACTTAGGAGAAAAAGTTCGATTGCCCAAAGGAGACCCTTCTCGAGAAGATGGTGGACTTGATAACTTTTCATCAGTGCTCCCTTCATTTTGGGAATCCTGTTCTTCATTTTCTTCTTCCTCCTCCTCCTCTTCCTCTTCTTCTTCATATATTATTAAGCGAGGGTGATAGGGAACCTCATCTTTTTTGGTTTTATCAGATATAGAATCTAGAATCCAGTCAGGGGTCACAATTTTAATGTTCTCTCGTTTACTGGCACATTCGTATTTTTCCTGGAAGGGACAAAAATGTTGTTGATAGGTGAAACTTACTTACTCTGTAGTTGCTCAACTGGCTGCTCCTAGGTATCTCAGCTGAATTCATAATGCTGGTTATTACTTACCAAGCCCTACAAGGCACAGCATCAAACTATATCAGGGACCCCTTTCCTGTCCATCCTATGATGTAATCTAGAGAGGATCTGTTTAGAATGTCATCTTCTCAAAAGGTGAGAGGAACATGTATGAGAAACGAGATGTCCTTGGTCAAAGGCCTAATGCAGGGGTGTCAAACTGGTGGCCTGTGGGCCGGATGCATCACGTGTAAGCCATACCCTCCCCGGTTCCGCAAAGGCAAAAAACATCCCGATATGTCACGTGATGCAATTGAGTTTGAAATCTATGGCCTAATGTTATGGAATAAATTGATATCATAATTGTGTCCAGTCTGCTTGCTTCTGACATTCCAAGGGGTGTTAAAAATACTTGTTTTTCAATGGCCAATCAATTGCTAACCTGGTTATTACTGGTGGCTAATTAGGTTTTTTTTAATGCTACTTTAATTGGGGGAGTGGGAGTTATGATCTGGGGGAATGCCTTGATTTATGCAGATGTTTTTACTTTATAAATAATTACCCAAAGCCTACACCTACTCCTACTTTGGAGTAGGAGACATAACTAAAATGGAACTGTGTGGTAATTAATTAACAAAAAATAAATAAATAGATGGTAAAATCTGTGGCATTTGGATTATGCAGCATTGAGTCCTTCCTTAGAAAATAACAGGAATTCCTGTTACTGTTTTCACCTCCTTAATCTCTCCTTTTCCACAGAGAGCAAACCTCATACCCTTCTAGCACTGATGATGTTACCCAGCTGGGTAATGAAATGTCTGCAAGAAAACAACCAAGCTCAGAAAGCACAAAAGCACAAAAAGCAGTTCAATCCTGAGGTATTCTAGCTGAATCTCTTCTAGCGGTAACAACTATTTTAGCTGTGACACCAATTATTTGAAAATAACATAAGCATAAACATAACATTAGCATAATTCATTATCATTCATCAGAATATTCTATCAGTCCCAAAAACACGATTTTTGCCTAGTAACATCTCAGTCAAATTTGATTTCCTCAAAAGTATGAAATGACTTCCATATTAATCTACTAGGTAACATACTTACAAGACTCAAACTATGTTGACCTGTATTCCGTATATTAAAACAACATTAAAATGCATTAAAATTCTTACCCCTTTTGCTTCAGGCACAATCAAGTGAGTACATTTTTTATTGAGGCTCAAACGGCAATCCCCACCATAAAATGTAATCAAAGCCCACAACATATTCCGGTCTTCAGAGGAAACCTACCAAAAAAGGTAAGGTCCATTAGTAGAAAATATTTTGAATTGTATATTATATCATTTAGCCACTTTGGAAAATATTTTACCTGAGACAGACAAGCAGCAACTCCAAAAAAGATCTGACAGGATTCTGGGGAAAAGCCATTTACTCTGAGAAAATTAAGTCAAGGAAATAACATAAATAAAATGTAACATATATTAAGATAAACAAATGAAAATATTCCCCCAACTTCACAAGGAACTATGGATAATTTTGTGCATACCAAGTTTTCTAAAAAGAGAGAGCAGAAATGAAACTAATCTAGCATTATGCAATCAACAGAGGAAATGATAGATAGATAGACAGACAGACAGACAGACAGACAGATAGATGACCTTTATTGTCATTTTTTTTCCCTGTGGGCACAATGTCACATATTAAAAATGACATTTAGTTGCTTCCTCTCAAAGTGTATACATACATAACACATTTAAAACATACTATATACAACATATGTATAGACCTACACCCTTATATATAAGTAACATAAATGAACTCAGTAGATTTGATATTACAATCCTTGTTCTGCTACAAAATTATCAGCTATATCTGAGTGAATACTTTGTCTTATAAACAAACAGGATACTTTTTGAAAGTGTGTCCCACAGAACCCATAATATATATGTTTTGCAGCCTTTGTTTCCAATTATTTTAAGTATCAGGTTCAAGCTATCTCACAAAATCATGGTTTTAAGAAATGTATTGTTAACATATATAAACTTGTATTTATGCAAAACGTTAAATTTGAGGGATATAAAAAATATCTACATCTATAGAGAGAAAATGGTAATCTTAAACTATGCAGTTAACATCACATTTTCTTTGAAACATTAATAATGGCTTTGTAGAGAAAAAGAGAAAAAAGTGGCCATTGGGGACAGAATTGGTGCAAATAGAAGAAATCAAAAGGGAAACAATGCTCAATTTCAACCGTAACATATTTTATTATTATTATTATTATTAAATTAAATTTATATCCCGCCCTTCTCCTTGCGGACTCAGGGCGGCTAACAATCGATTAAAAAATACACAAATAACAATTACAGGATTAAAATTAATTAAAAGGAAATATTTAAGTATGGTCTAATTAAAATATAATTTAAAACCCCCTCTAAAAATTACCCTAGGCCAGTCCTGCAAGNGAGCGCTTTAAAGATGATAGTCAACACCTTGAAGCGCACCCGGAAGGCCACAGGCAGCCAATGCAGCTCGCGCAGCAGCGGTGTTATATGGGAGCGTCGAGTCCCTCCCAACACCGCCCGCGCGGCCGCATTTTGGACTAGCTGGAGCCTCCGGGTGCTCCTCAAGGGGAGCCCCATGTAGAGAGCATTACAGTAGTCCGGGCGGTGTTGGGAGGGACTCGTATTAGGCATCCTAAAACATGTATTTGAAATTAACTTCATGGACACATTATTCTTGGCAGTATTACTAAAATGGTTTTTCTATTAAATAGCCTTTGTATTTCCTGGAAATATCCTATCTAACTACCAACTAGACTTAAAATGTTTCCTTTCCAAATCCAAACAAGATTGGCCAGATATCGTCCCTACTGACACATAGACCTTAATCAATAATTAAAATATTTATTAAAGCTATTAAACATTTGATTTTTCCAGAAAATGAAGGAAATATATTCCTTTTTTACTATGAGCATAAAAAGATTCATATTAATAATATTAGGGGGAAATAAACATATAATAGGTAAGAAGTCTGAAAAACATAGTTATAGAATAATTATTAGAGATGTACATGAGATTGTAAATTACAATTTAACAAATTCGTAATGTATAATCTCTACAAGATTAGAGAAATTAATTAATTCTGAAAAGAAAATGTCATAAGACAAGTTAGACAAAAATTAATAAGGAACAACAATCCAATACAATTTGTTTCACATATATGCATTTTACTTACAGTAGATCAGACTAATAGGACAATGTAATTTCAAAATACTTTCTCTCAAATATTTCAAAGGACTAGCAAAGAAAGAAAAAATAATTATTCCAATTAAGTGGACCTTGCAAGAGCATTAAAATGTAGGATGACCTTCCTTTAATTAATTCTCTGAAACAATTTCCTGTCTAGCTAAAAAGCAAGTTATATTTTAAAAAACCAAATAAGTATTATATAATTCTGTTAACAGTTTCACTGGAAAGGATACGGCAGAAGAGCTCCACACTGAACTGACAAAGTCACCCAGGAAGGCTAGAATAGGGTTTTTTAAAAAAATCTAGTAAGTGTCAATGAATAAATATTTATATATCTGAGAATAGCCTTCAAATTATAAACATAGGGCAAGCATACACACTCATCTGGTTATCCTTCATTCATCAGATGTAATTGTTGGGGGTAATATGCTGACTCTGTAAATCGCTTAGAGAGGGCTATAAAGCAATGTGAAGGAGTATACACTATAAGTGCTATTGCTATTAAGCTATCTTATCAAGCAAAAGGATCATCTATTTCTGTATTGTCTATGACTTGTCATTTGGCAACAGCTCTATGTGTTTTCAGACAATTTCTTCCAGGCCTATCTGTAGATATAAAATACCGAATAGGAATCCTATATATGTATAAAATTAATAATCTGTGGCTTTTACCTTCATATTAGTATTCCAAACTATGCTGATCTATGATTGTAATAAAATTGATGTATTGTTAAGGTTCCAAATATTGATAGAATTGAATTGAAACATATGATAACTTGTACAAGGCAACAGTAAGGACATTACTTTTACAAATACTTTCATCAAACATTTATACCCTCCTTAGCCAGCCAGATAACAGAGACTAATTCTGATTCCAATAACCTAGGTTTTGTTGGTGCCAGTAATTTGAGCTGAGGCATTAATTTGCTGTTTACCATTATGCTCATAATGCACACAACACAGCGCCCAAAGTGATGGACTTAGGTTTTTTTCTTCCTTCCCAACACACACAAAAAGCATTTCTTTGCATGCAAACCTAGAAACATTAAGTTCTGTATCAAAATGTTAATTGTACTAAAAGCAATAGTTATTATGCTCTAAATATTTACTTTTACTACTGGAAGATCAAACACTTCACGAGATTCACCAACTTCTGGATTATCCCCATCTTCTGAAATGATGTGCGAAGCTAGAGCATTATAGGAAACTTCCTTTGCCTTCCCATCTTTCAGAAGCTGAATAACCTATAACATGAAAGTGAAATGTTATTCTTTTCAATTTCAGAAAAATGCTGCTGTACAACAAATTACATTTTCCTAGACATACAGTACATACATTCATACTAACATTATCCTTTCCCAGAGAAGGCACGAATTTCAATAAAGACAAACTATAAAGTTGTTTCTGGACATCAGTGAACGACAGAAGACATCTAGTTTGTGTTCATGGCTGATCCAATGAGCTGTTCCCTAGTTGCCGCAGAGAAAGGCTATCACTTCCTAGGTCTTTGTTTGTTTTTTAAGTTTTTTGGTGGGGAACAGGAAGGGGAAGAAAGCCACCAATCTATCCTTCCTATCAACTCTATTCCCTCTCATGTGATCATGTGGAAGGGAATTAAAACAGAAGTAAATGAGAGCTCTTGAAACCAATTGGGGGGGGGGGGGTGTCTTATTGCCAGAAACTGAATAAAAAAAACCTGTCTCATTACCGATAGTTCATGACATGATTGATCAGAGAAGTTTAATCCTTGAAGACCTCTAGGGCTCTTTGGGATAACATTTAAGTCTCCAATCACACTGCTGACCTGCTGGTTTCCCCCCAATACATTTAAGCATGTTGTATAAATACCACTCATTTCATTAAAACTGGGCTAACTGAAGCTTTCCTTGAAAAATTCAGTTCTTGCTCTCTCAGCATAATAAACACATAGTTGGCCAAGGCAGCAATAAATAAAATGTAACATAATAAAAAATGAAATGTAGCACAATAAGAAAGTTTTACTTTTACCATCTTTCCCCTGGATGTAAAGTATTGCATGAAAGATGCTTGTATTCCACATTTATTCCATTAAAAACAATTATGTATTCAATGCATCCAATATTCTATAAATGTTCCTAGTTCTCTAAGAACTTCCTTCCTTCTGCTTATGCCACATAGAATTGTATAATTTGGTCATCTGTTGAAAAAATGCTAAGAAAAGAACATAATTCTTTGTTGCACTAAACTCATTTTATTTTTAATCAAGTAAATTGCCTCTGAACACATCATTTTACATGTTGAAAGGCAGAAATCTTCAAATAAAATGAAAAGCCAGAAAAACTCCTAATCTAGCTCAGTTCTTGCAAAGAATTTTATTATAAAAACAATCTTAAATTACACATGTTCCCTAGCTCATTTTATTTTATTTCATTTATATAAAGAGGTTTAGTGCAAAACTACTCATAATTCATTGTTATTTCAAAGCTTAGGAAACTATTATTTTTGACCTTGGTTTCAGCAAGACCTTGTTTTTCCAAGTCGGGACATCACAGAAAATTATGTTTACTTCAAAAAACGATATTTCATCAGGGGAGGAGGAAAAGGGTAAGTATCCTGAATGAAGCGTTAAATTGCAATCATTTTGTTCCTCAGATCCACATTGGAATGATTAAAGTTTCAGAACACAAAAGCAAAACTGATTTAGTATGTGTGGGGTCCTTGGTGCTCCATTGTGTTTAATTGTTTTCCTGAAAATGGGTAACGAAATGTCTGCAAGAAAAGAACCAGGCACAGAGAGACCAAGGACTCTCCCCCACTTCAACCCTATGCTACAAATATTCTCTGCTATTGGTGCCACATACAGGTGATTTGATGAGTCCGTGTCCGGGATGTTTTTTCAGCTTCCCAATCTAGCCCACAGCCTGTGATCGCCTAGTGGTCTCTCATCTAAAAGCTAACCAAGTCCGGCTGCATTTTGCTTCCCAATCAACATCAACCAACTGCCACAGGGCCATCTTCCACATCAAGAGGAGGCCGTTAGTCCTGTTCGGGTTGGATGGCCTGATGTGCCTAACTAATGGCTCTCCCCATTGACAGAAGGAGACTTCCCTGCACGCAGAAAACGATCAACTCAGGAAAAGAAGATTCGGCGCTATGTTTTCCTTATGCTTAACAGGTCGGAGCTGTTTCCGTAGAAGAGGAAAAATGGGGGGGGGGGGATGTCTCTTTTTGTCCACTCTGGGTGGAAGGAGCCCTTTCCTCCCTCAGATTTAATCTTAAAACAGCCCCTTGAGAGAGGTCTGGGCTCCCCCCTCCTCACCCACCCCCGCAATCCGGGGAGGAGAGAGAGGGAAGCCAGTTGTTTAAAGGCTCATTCACGAGCGGGTGAGAGAGGGGAGGAAACGGCAAGAGAGAAGGGGAGTGCCAGAGGCCTAGTCGGGGCCGCCCCCGCGCGGGGACTGAAAGCAGCGCCGCCGGGAAGGGAAGACCACCCGACCCTCAGCTGACGGCAAAAGCTGCCCCTAGCCCTGCTTTCCCCCCCTCAGTCCAGGCCGCGGCAGAGGCCTCTCCGGTTTCCAGACGGGACTGACTGACAGGAGGAGGAGGTCGCGTCACCCCCACCGGACGCGGCGAACGCAGTTAACGGCCGTCGACGGAGATCTCCCTGCCCCTCCCCCTCCCGCGAGGGGCTACAATGATCCCCTGTCCCGCTCTGAGAGGTCTCGCAAGGGCGCATGCGCCATCTCCAGCCGCACGAGCCGCTGTCATCCTAACCGACTTGAGTGGGGGGGGGGGGAGGACGATCGACAGAACGACCCCAGGAACCCAAAGGCGGAAGAGCGCGCCCCCCTCCGCGGAAACGTCCCCGCAGGTACCTTGGGGTCGATGTCTCCCACCACGAAGAACTTGACATCCTTGAACATCTCCTCGGGGACTTTCAGCACCTCCTGGTCTTCCTCCTTCGACATGATCGCGTCCGGCGATGCAGCCGCTTCGGCTTCCGAGCGCGATGATTCAAGAAGCCCCGTCAAGCCCGGGATCTCCCTGTCCGCTGCCCCCCCTCGGCGCCCAGGCAGCCGCCGAACCGTGGTAGAGGAGCGCGCGCTTTCGAATAGACCATCTCTGGCAAGGGGGGGGACGGGGAAGCAGGAGGGTGGGGAGCGGGAGCCTCCGTCCGCTTGGGGCGTCTCGGAAGCCGCTTCCTATCTCTACTCTGAATGTGACAGAGTCTGTATTGATAAACTTGCGGATCCGCTAAAGGCAGGTTTGGTTTGCCAATCGAGAGGCACCCGTCCTCCCCTTAGGGATCGACATAATGGGCTCACCCCAATCTCCGCCTACTAACAAACAAGCGGTAGGAATGCCAAGTTGCAGGCTCCGCCTACTGTTACCTCGCCGTCTGTTTTTAGCTCCGCCTACCATCTTTCTCCCGCCGGCGGGGAGTTATTGATACTTTTTTGCAATCTTAAATCATGGGCATGGATCAAAAGTTTTAAAAGAAACCGAAATAAAACATGAGTGCAGTGAAGACTTAATGCGATCCTTCCTGGAGAATTGTTATCTAACTGGAAGCCTATTAAAAAGGATGGAGTGGGAAGAAAACCTTTATGCATTCTTCCTAAGTTGTATAATTAGGATTGAAGATGGTCATTGTGAGTGGGCTCTGCATTTTAAGCATCCCAAAATCTGCTCCTACTTGACTTTCCGGTTCCAAGAAAGTAATTTTTGCCAGCAAGATGCTGAATCCAAATACTCGATTTAATGGTCATTTAATGGCTCTTTGAAATTCTGAAGGGCCCCAGAATGGATCCTTAATGGCTGTAAAGCACTTCTGGCCATTATAAAATATGCCACACGCCCACGTGCGCGCCGTGTACACACACACACGCACACCAGAGAGAGAGAGAGAGAGACAGACTCCAGATCTCTTTTTCAGCAATTGGCAATTGGTTCATTTTTATGATCAGTTGTAGCATCCTGCAGCCACATAACCATGATTTGTGGCTTTTTGCTAGTTTCTGACAATAACGCCCATTCGCAATAATGGATTTGCACTTAACAATTGTTTAGCGGCCACCGCAAAAATTATATAATTGAGTCTGGTCCCCTGGGTGCCTCAGTTTATAATTATAACACCTTATGGCCAGGAATCTGCTCCTGATTCTGGTCCTAAATTGAGATTACTCGTACTGTAGTCTGCATATATTGATTATTAGGAACCCCATTTGCATCCTTTCTATTTTCAAATTGCAGGAAGTCCTCAACTGACAACCATTCTAAATTACAAAAGGTATTTATGATCCAGTTCCACAGTTAGCTCTGCTGCAGGACCCCTGTGGTCATTTACGACCTTATTATCAACTGCAGAGACAGGACAGCGGCCCCCCACCCCACCCCCTATTCCTCTCCTCCCATCCTGTTCCATCAAGTCCCCCCAAGGCATTGGGATTGCTTCCCCCTCCCCAGTGTGTTCCACACACTCTTCCCTGCCCCCCCCCCCCGCCCCATCACTGACCACTCACTTACTTTTCAAAAGTCCCTGGAACTCAGGAGATGGGGATAGAGAATGAGGGACAAGCCGCTCCATTGCTGAGTGAAAAACAATCTTAGCCTGGCAGAGCTATGGCTAGCTTTAGCAAGAAAAAAGGAAACCATGAGAAATTATTTTTTTCTGGCTAACACTGGCAGAGCTATGGCTAGCAATAGAGAAATTACTGTGGGGACCCCAAGGGATGGGAAGTGGAGCATGGGCTATGTCAGAGAATGGAGGAGACCTTAGGAGGCCCAAGGAAGGTGGGCTTGTGCCTGCACTAGGCTTCCCAGGGTCTCCCCACACCTGAGATATCCCATGGTCCACTTAACAATAGTTCATTAACAAACAATGTTTGTTTAATTAGTGCATTGGGAAAGCAGGGATGGGGGTGGGTTCATTAAGTGAGACTGTTCACTTAGCAGCCCTTCTGACTTCTCCCTGTAATGGACAGTCAGTTCATTATGATCATAACTAGAGGACTGCCTGCAGGCAAGGCTTTTTGCTGAGATATATAGCCTTCAGAGGCAACCATTTATTATGTATTTATTTAGTAAATAGCTGCAAACATTGATAACAGAATGTCAAACAGAAAATGTCAAAATGTGGGACAAAATGTCAAACAGAACTTGGGAACACAGAGAAGGCTACAAGACATTTAAGGGCAGAACCAAGGCCTTCCCAAAAGACATCCTTGAACCTGGGAATGGGAAAAATATGCGAAGGACACTGAGAAGAACTCAAAGTTTAGATTTTTAATTAAGATAAGTAGTGCAGAATTAGTTTAGAGGGCTTTCAGGTGACGTCACTCTACTTAGCAATAGAGATCTTTCCAGAAATCCAAGCCATTCTTGTTCCCTGAGTTTGCCAACTTCTTTACATTCATCTCCAGATTATTCATGTGTTTGTTGTGTGTCTCATTCACACAGGTAAGTTCAATGTCATTGACCAGCAGGAGGCACTACGGGCCTAGTTTCATCCTATTTGGGATTTGTCAGAAGTAGATAGCCAGATGCTATTCTGTTCTGTGCATAGGACCCCTATCAGAAATTGAACTCATTAGGCCTGCAGCAGATTAGTTTACTATAGGTAGGTAGTCCTCAATTTACAACTGGTCACTTAGTGACTGTTCAAAGTTATGACAGACCGCCCCTCCAATATGCTCAGTTCTAAAGTTTTAATGGCTGCCCCGTTGTTACATTACCATATTTCAGGTGCTTGGCAATCAGCTCCATTTGCAGCCTTTTACAGCATCCACAATGACTTGACTGCAATTTACAATGGTGTTTTGTTTTGTTTTTTTGCTGAAAATGGGTATTTACCTTCAGTTTTCGACAAAAGTGCGGAACAACGGGTTGGTTTAACAACCGTGGTGTCTGCTTTATGACTTTATGACTGACGTGTTTGCTTAATAACTGTGGCAAAAGAGATTACAAATCTGTCTTATGGATAATCTGCTTTACAATTGTCATGACTTACGACTATAATGGGCAGGCTTCATTATGATCGCAAGTTGAGGACTGCCTGTAATTAATTGCACATAGCTTATAGCTTATAGCTTAAAACAGTGAAATAATGGAAAGTTAATAATAATAATAATAATAATAATAATAATAATAATAATAATAATAATAATAATAATAATAATAATAATAATAATAGTAAAGTTGGAAGGGACCTTGGAGGTCATCTAGTCCAACCCCCTGCTCAGGCAGGAAACCCTATACCATTTCGGACAAATGGCTGTCCAGTCTCTTCTTAAAAACCTCCAGGAGGGAGACCCAGGCGACATAGTATTGAATAACTGGAGGTTGTATACATACTTATAGACGTATATACTGAGAAGGTTAGATAAATAGAAGTATTAATGTAAGAGAAAATTAATCTTATTGTATATAATACAGATTGGGAAACATGGAGAGAGGAGTTGTTCGGACATTACCCCTGAATTGTATCTGAAGAGGGATGAGAGGGAAGAAAGGAGAGGAGAGAGAAAAGAGTAAAGGAGGGGAGAAGGAAGTAGGAAGGTTGGAGGAGAGAGTGGTGAAAGAGAAGAGGAGAGGAGAGGAAGAAGAGGGAAGTAGGGAAGAAAGAGAAGGAAGGGAGAAAGAAGGTAGAAGAAGGAGTGGTGATGCAGTGAAAGGGGAAATGGGCGAGCAACACCAAAAGTCATGTGCATGTATTTATTTCATTAAAACTATCTTATATATAAGAATGTAAAAAGAATGTATGTTAATATCTGATAAATATCACGGTATATGTATGGGGGAGAGTTTGGAAAAATAATAAATAAATAAATAAATAAAAAACCTCCAGTGTTGGAGCATTCACTGCTTCTGGAGGCAGGTTGTTCCACTGGTTAATTGTTCAGGAAGTTTCTCCTTAGTTCTAGGCTGCTTCTCTCCTTGCTTAGTTTCCATCCATTGCTTCTTGTCCTGCCTTCAGGCACTTTGGAAAATAGCTTGACTCCCTCTTCTTTGGGGCAGCCCCTGAGATATTGGAACACTGCTATCGTGTCCCCCCCTCGTCCTTCTCTTCATTAAACTAAACATACCCAATTCCAGCAGCCGTTCCTTATATGCTTTAGCCTCCAGTCCCCTAATCATCTTTGTTGCTCTTCTCTGTACTCTTTCTAGAGTCTCAACATCTTTTTTACATCGCGGTGACCAAAACTGGATGCAGTATTCCAAGTGTGGCCTTACCAAGGCATTGTAAAGTGGTATTAACCACTTTAAGTTCCCAGTTTGCATTTCCTGAGTTCTGATAGCAGATTGTTTTTCAAGATAGATTGGCAGGAAATTCAATATTGAAATAAATATTTAAAAAATGATTAAAAAAAAGAACGAGTACACTAAACCCCACGTGCAGGTTAAAAAAAAAAATCCATTTATGGATGTGCAAAGGATTATTTGCGTAACTTCACCATAGCGAACCACCCATTTATGCATCCCTACTGAGTTTCTATGCACAACTTGTGGCCTTGCACTGGAAGTATTTGCAAGGCACAGGTTGTGCATCTAGCAAGTTGGTCTTCAAGGCCTTGCTGAAGAATGTCAAAGTGGAGGCCAGCCTAATCTCTGCAGGGCTGATATTCCAAAGGGAGGGAGCCCAATGGAGAAGGTCCTTCTTTTGTGTCCTACCCAGATGTACCTCCTTAGGAGAGGAGACCCACAATATTCCCCGATTCCCTGTTCTGGTGGGTCCGGTAGATGTAACCATGAAGAGATGGTCCTTCAAATAGCCTGGTCCCAGGCCATGGAGAGCTTTAAAGGAGACAACCAGCACTTTGAACTGTACCCAGATGCAAATATATTACTTGTCTGAGGAATATGGAATCTTTATTAGTCATTTTGTTATCCACTCATAAACGATAAAAATCTAGTCAGATTACTGCAAAAACCCTAAAGCAGTGATGGCGAACCTTTTAGAGACCGAGTG